TCAGTGTTTTTCTGACATTGGTGGAGGCTGGATACCAAAGAATTACCGAATCTGAAATGCACCAATCATATAGTCCCGCTTTTGGTGAGTAGTATGATCATGAGAGTCCTTTTTTCTCAAGGCTTTTACCATGCTAAGGGATTTGAGACCGTCCTGATAGCTCATCTTGTTAGAGCACCTGCCCTCCAATTCATCCAAGGGTGGGTGCGAGTCGTCTGAGAGTCTCGCCATTTGCCCCTCGCTGGACTGGACCGCGGCCGGCCGCAGCTACCACGCAAAAGGTCAGGTGAGGTCGGAGGGCAGGATGGACCGCGTCGGTAGTTGTGTCACGTTAAGCTTTCAGGGGTAAATTTCGCCGTTAGCCTGGAATTTCATGACCGGATGATGCAGGTCAACGCCCACCCAACGGGTACTGATGAGTGATCGCAGAAGACCATCGAATGAAGTGGTTCCGACTGAATCTAAAGCGAGAAAAGGACATGTTTCAGATCATGAAGATTCCCGCTCAACTGACTTAACAAGCGTTTTGGGATAAAAATGGGACTATATCGCATTGTTTACCTTTATGTTATTCATCATATTCTTGACCTTCTTTTATGCACAAATTTAGCAATGCCTGATTACCTAGACGTAATGCTACAGACCAGGAATACTTTCAACTCCGGGTATTAAACGACCCGAGTAATACGTGCACCAGACCCCCGGGGGTAAACAGACAGCTAACCGGCCTAATGGGCCGACTAACACGTCATGCCTGTCGGACCAATACTCCCCTAACACGTGTACCTGAGGCCCCGGGGGTAAACAGACAGGTAACCGGCCTAATGGGCCGACCAACACGTCATGCCTGTAGTACCAATACTTCACCCTAACACGTGTACCTGAGGCCACCGGGGGTAACACCTACCCTATGGGCCAGCTAACACGGTCATGCCTGTCGGACCAATCCTCCCGTATACACGTGTACCTTGCCCTGGGGACCAATACTCCACTAACACGTCATGCCTGTCGGACCAATACTCCCCTAACACGTGTACCTGAGGCCCCGGGGGTAAACAGACAGGCAACCGGCGTAATGGGCCAACTAGCACGTCATGCCTGTAGTACCAATACTCCCCTAACACGTGTACCTGAGGCCACGGGGGTAAACACACAGGTAACCGGCCTAATGGGCCGACCAACACGTCATGCCTGTAGTACCAATACTCCCCTAACACGTGTACCTGAGGCCCCGGGGGTAAACAGACAGATAACCGGCGTAATGGGCCAACTAACACGTCATGCCTGTAGTATCAATACTCCCCTAACACGTGTACCTCAGGCCACGGGGGTAAACAGACAGGTAACCGGCCTAATGGGCCGACCAACACGTCATGCCTGTAGTACCAATACTCCCCTAACACGTGTACCTGAGGCCCCGGGGGTAAACAACAGCTAACCGGCCCAACAGACCGACGAACTCGTCACGCCTGTCCTACCAACGCTCTCCTTTTCACTGGAGGCGGAGCTCTGACGCCGACTCTCCGTTTGTCTTGACCTCTGCCCGCTTTTTTAGGTGGGTGTCATGAGGGGTACGTATAGGTGCGCCCATACCAGCCACCGTATGGTATATAGATACGTCCTTCACAAATAAGCTTACTAAAACTAAACTAAGTTAGTCCGCACGGTCTGAATCTGCTTGAATTTCCGATGGGACTCGCACTGAATAAATGATGTACCCTACCTGAGCAGGTGTAATACGGTGGCGCACCGCCAGGTATTGCTACAGTAGCTTAACAGCTGAATAAGGCGTGTATTATGGGGAGCGGGGCAGGGGCGGCGCTTGTTACAGTGTAGCGCCAATGGGCTCACAAATATACCCTATACATATATCTCGAATATTATGTGGCAAAACAGTGGGGCTCCGATTTTCGGATATTCACGTATGTGGATGATGCGGTACATTTGCGATAATTCGTGGTACATGTCTGATAGTGAGTGACGAATTTCTGTCTGAAGAAAGCACGGCATTGCTTACGAAGACGAAACGGCTGCCACTTCCCTGGGCTGCGCACAGGTGACTGCCCTGTGGCGAGAA